GAGAGAGAGAGAGAGAGAGAGAGAGAGAGAGAGAGAGAGAGAGAGAGAGAGAGAGAGAGAGAGAGATTTTCCTGTGGCTGTCAATCTGTCAGACGTGTATCTGATAAACGGGCTTCTGTGTCCATGCCAAAGAATGAATGCCAAAAACAGGCACCCCTCCTACAAGGTGGTGGGTGAATCTTGATGGAATTCACACTCGTTTATGAGATGACCAGTGAGAAGACTTGTTTCCGTTTTCCTTTCTTCTCTGTTTCTTCCGTCCCTCAGAGGGATAGAGGAGAGAGCAAGAAAATGGCACTCTTCGCCGCAGACATCGTGCATGATTCTAAATATAAATGCCTTCTGGACTCGCTCACAGGAGTTTCTGTGCAAGTGTGCTATTTTCCTTTTCGTCCCTCCCTCTCTTCCTCTCCCCCTCCCTCCCTTCCTCCTTCACATGAAGCCATTGATCCTCTCTGCCCCTCTGACAGTTGAGAAGGTCGTAGGCCGAAAACGGAAAACAAGTGTCTCCAAGGAAAATGAAAAAGAACAAAAACAAAAACATGGAAGACAAGAAAAACAAGTGTGTGTGCCAAGAAAAAGGGTATGAAGTCGGTAGATGTCGAAGCAGCCAATGACTGCTTAGTTAGTCTCACCCGACCGCAGACGGATTCGTACTGCTCAAGTATGCGATGTGCTCTTTCGAGTCCATCGATTTAGGCTCCTTCCCGTCTGCGGACTGTGTACACAACCAGACCAGTGCTGCGCTGCGCACCTATTGCTAGGCTGCTGCTGTGTTGGTTTCCTGAACGACTGTGTACCCGGATGCTTGGTTTCTGGGATGTGCGACCTCACCACACACTTGCTCAGGACCATGCGCTCCTTCCAGGGTTGATCGGTTGATTGGTTGATCGATTATAGCAAATAAAATGTCCAGGTAAGGTGGAGCTCAGCCAGGGATCGATGATAGCAGCAGTGCCATGTGTGTATCTCCTACAGGCCTCCAGGGATTTTGTGCTGGTGCAAAGCAGGATCAGGCAAATGAGGAAAGCCTCCACTACATTAGTTCTATGCGGCCTGACCTGAGAAACAAAGTGAACACCTGTAGTGCAGTCTCTCTAGACTGGAGGACGATGTGCCCACTCAGGGCTCTCGGCAATTTTGGTAAGGTCAGGCCCGCATGTTCCGCAATAGGGCAGTCTGCACAGAGAGGATTCCAATGGATGCGCTTTACTTCAGCAGGGCCTCGATAAATCGAACGGGCAATTGACCGGCCCCAGGTAATTCAGAAATGTTTTATTTTTCCGTAGAGAGCCATCTGGAATCGTACTGAGGTCTGTATTTTTTACTATTTTACAGTTCATGGGTGCACCAATTGAGCTGCGGCCTTTTCCCAAATAGAATGCAGGGTCATTATCCCTGTATCTAGACTGGAAGTTGCCCTGAAATTACAGTCAAAAGGACCGTGTGTTGAACTTGGTTCTATTCGGGTGAAAATGGTAGGCCGGTTTGTAGGAGGCGGCTTTTGACGGACTAGAGGAGGAAGAATGTATCACAGGTAGGAAAATTGGACTGGAAGTCTGATAAGGAAAAATGTTCAGGTAGGGTGGGTTCCATGAGCACCCGGAAAAAACAAAAAAAAAAACAAGTTTGAAAAGCTATAAGAGGGGGAAGGGGGAGGGGCAGGGGAAGGAATAGGAAATCCATTTAATCCAAGAAGAAAATCCATTGTGAAATGTGGGTGAAGGAATCTCGCAGCTGTCATCCTCAATCAGCGCAAAGGGGAATTTTTAAATGGTCACCAAATAGGAACCATTGTGGGTTCCAGCTGTTTGATAAGCTGAGATGCAGTCCCCACTAGCAAAGAGGATTGGAATGAAGGCCAAAATCTGGACGTGACGTACATCTCAGAGAGAGATAAACGTCTAGAAATTTATAATTAGCGGATGAAAAACCGGATTCGGGCGCGGGTAATCCATTCCTGTTTGCTAGCTGGACCTCGCCCCTGGAGCATTGCGAAGTCTTTGAATTTGCATTGTTGCTATCAGTTAAACCGATGTGGTTGAAATCTTCCTGTGGACATGTCCATCGGGAAAAAAAATTAATGGAAATGCCTGTGGAAGTTGTAAGCGGACGTTGAAGCGTTGATAATTCTTACGGCGCGAAGAGGGGAAAGTTCCTGCGGAGCTGGAAACCATTTTGTCCTATCAAGAACTATCTCACAACTTTCTTGGCCCCTGTTCTAAGATTTAAGCATTGTATCTGTTCTGATCAGTTTAAACAGCCACTAGCTTTCAGAGGATAAGTCGTGGATATTAACCTGCACCACATTCTTCATTTTGGAGGTCAGGCGCCGCCGGACCAAAATGGCTGGCTAATCCAGCCAAAACAAAAGACAGAAGGTCTGGCGCTTCGGCAATGCCTGGGGTGCAGTTTTTCGCCCCTCTGCAAAAAGAAGCTCGACGGTTGTGGTGGTCTTAAAAGGAAAAGGGGTAAAAAAAGGAAGTACTATCCCAATCTCGTTCGTGACAGATGCCTTTATTGTTGTGGGAGCACTCACCACGCATGCACTTTTTCAGCTGTAAAAGAGTTTTCTCATTGGTCCAGACTACCTTCCCCAGCCTGGAACAACACCCAGAACATAAAACCACCTCTGCCTCCTGAGGCGAACCTTTTGCTGTTTTGCACATCTTTCCCCTGCCGAGAGTGTAGCGAGAAGACGAGAGAGTGCATATCAGTGCAGGGGTGTGGAGAGCGCGAAGCGTCAGGTCTAAGCCTGATTAACACGAGGCGACCGGGCGCAGTGCACAAGCACGAAGCGCAGTGCCGAAAACCACCGAAAAAGCACCAGTAATCACGCCATACGGCCCTGAGGAACATCCAACCCGGGAACCCCTTGAGCCGGGATTCTTTCCTAAATGCTAGTAACGTCGAGCCCACTCCTCTATGGTCTGAGGAGTGGGCCAGAATACGGTTAAGGTGACATTTCAAACCACCCTTCTTCTGCTGAGCCGGGCCGAAGGATAAAAAATATTGGGTAGACAAGAGATCCTAACAGGTTTATCCGACCAAATATAATCTTGATTTTTCGTGACCGCTGTACAGCTGATTCGAGGGGGATGGCTCCTGCTCTTGATTCGACATCCTCAGAAATCCCACACACCACTTCGTACATCTGTCCTAACCAGGGACAGGTTACTGTCGTAGCAGTCTTGGAAACTTGTCAACAGCTGACCTGCCTTGTGCAGCAGGTCCTCCCTAGCGTTTGGGAGTAGGATAAAGACACATCATCGACAAGCCTAACGGCTGAAAAAAACTTTATATCTGTTCCAACGGTGAACATTGCTTCATTATATGCACACAGCAAACATGCTAGCGCGGGGCTTGAGCACTTGCCCATGGGGATATCGACATTTTGCTTGATTATCAGGTTGGCTACCTTGGA